AAAAAAAAACAATCTCCTGGACTCCAAGGGCCTTGGAATTGCCATGGGCTCGCTAGGGCGCAGAGATAGGCACAGACTCTGATGGATCACATCTAACTAAAGAAACAACCGCCCCAGCTTTGTCTCTTCGAGGTCTTTTCTTTTGAGTAGTTGGTTCAGTAACACCTTTGGACTCACCTAACAGCCAGCTGGCAAGTGGTCCAAGAGTACTGTCCTTTCATAGATTTCTAAATCCCAAGTTAGAGTATCAGGGAATTTACACTGGGAGGTGGATGATTAACATTAGGGACCCTTTCCACTTGGCTGTGCCATTACTCCGTAATCCAGCAAAGCAACTCCACATTGTGTGGGTCAGGGATTCCCAAGGTAACTGTGCAACTGGAAGCCTTTATTTCCTTTTACCATTCTGACCACCAAAGACGGATAGTTAACTGAATAAACAAGCATGTGCAGGCAGATAAATGAAAGTGTGAGAGTGTTTTCTCCATGGGACTAATGACTTTGAAATTTTTTTTCTCTCCAGTGCAAATACCATCCCTGCTACCCGGGTGTGCGATGCGTGAACTTAGCTCCTGGCTTCAGATGTGATGCCTGCCCGGTGGGCTTCACAGGGTCCATGGTGCAGGGTGTCGGGATCAGTTTTGCCAAGTCAAATAAACAGGTGGGCTGAAGTTTATTTTTACCTTAATTACCAACAGAGAAACTCTGGTTGATTCCCACCTCTTTCTTATAACCCTTTATCTCCTTGAGCGGCCAATGCCATGTGGAATATCATGGTGCCAAAGAGCAAGTTAGGATGTTTCCCATCGCATTTCTGAGTGTATATGTTCGTAATGTTTAGTAGGGTGGAAGCTCTTAAACTGGGATTATAGAGCATCACTGGGAAAACAGTGCACGGGGTAGCACTGAATATGTGGCATGATCTCAGGCTTTATTTTGTTGGTAGACATTGTTTTGTCTGGCAGAATAACTTGAAAATCAGGGAAACAAACAAAAGCTTCAAAAATTAGGTCATTTTTGTAGTCATTGTTGCTGATCAGAAGGTGTTTTAGAGATTAGAGGATTTCAAGAGTAGAAATAATCGCCCAAGGAAACCCCCACTTCTTCTTATATAAGCTATAAATTGCCGTAAAGCACTTGAGCACTTCCTGACAGTCTCCATTTATTTCCAGATGCTCTCTATCCTGGTCATTATTTAACTGGCTGACTGTGAAATTCTTTTTGATGTTTTCAGCCCTTAAAAATGGTTGGTCTATAAATATATTTTACTACCTTAGGGAAATTATTAGCTTTAAAGAAGGGCAGGTTCGTTATCTCCTAACTGCCTATCACGGGATTCTAGGGGGCATCATTTTTAGACTAGAAAAAAAAGGCAAGCTAGACAGATAGGAATGACAACAAGCCATTAGAGTAATGACCCAGAGTTTTTCTTCTCTCCTCCAAAGACAAAATCTCCAGGACTAACCCAAGGAAAATAGGCAAAATGAATAGAAGGTGCTTTATGTAAGCTACCCAGGAGCACTTCCCAGTAGATTTCCAGCAATATGGTACATGGAACTGAAGTGGAAGGGAGCCATCTTGATAAAATTTAACAACAATTTTAATGCATCACCAGTATCAAAAGAAATAAAAATAAATATGCAGGTTTTGGAGACAGAAAGGTAACGCAAAACCAGAGCTGTGGGTAGAAGCTGATACTGTAGCAGCTCATGGGAAGTGGGAGCTGGGTATAGGTCCCAGGAGTGGGGAGCTGGGCTATTAGCACCTATGTGGGCATGGCAGATGTTGTCTTGCACCCTTAGAAAGATCTGATACCCCTCTACAAAGCCAGGAGACTCAAAGAGCTATGTTCCCCATTACAAGGAGATGAGAAAACTTGAGTAGCCCCAAAAATCAACAAGGAAGCTTGATGTCCATTTTGGGGCAAGGTTAACACAAATGAAAATTGCCCACAACAAATCAAAACTCCAAGCTTATATTACATACAGTTATGAACTAAAAATCTGTGTTACACGTGTAATGCAGATATACAAGCCAAAAATTGACATGAAAACCAGCTCTGGAGCAGTAATATCCTCAAAGCTACAGCACCTTGTGAAGACTCCAAACTCAGGGCCAGTGGAACAACCACCGGCAGAGGCAGGGCCACTAAGGATATGCTCATGAACAAAAATGGCAATTTCCATGAAGATGCTACCTTGAGGAAATGTGATAAATACAAGTTCAAAAGGATAAAGAGAAAAAGGAAAGAATAGATACCATAATTAAAGAATAGAGCAATGAAGGACTGGGGAGGCGGGGATGCGCAACAGGCATGTGTATAACTAGCCAAGTAAAATTATTCACTAAAAAAAATAATCATTGGCTTTAGAAACTTAATAGATGAGCAAGACAGCTAACAGGGAGTTTATAGATTGGAAGGTAGAACTCAGGAAATCACCCAGAATGCAACACAGAGAAATAAAGATGTGGAAAATATGAATGAGAGGTTAAGAGTCAACAGAAGAGATTAATGAGAAAGTCCAATATTTAATTGTAGTTTTTAAAAAAAGAGTAGATGGAATAGGAGCAGAGGGAAGCTGAGAATTTTCCAGAATTGCAGAAAAATTGGGTTCTCAGGTAGAAGTACGTTGAGCCCCAAGGGGGAGAAAGAAGAACCTTCGTGATTAAAAGGGTTGTGGAACAGATTACTCATACAAGTTGTCTTTTATGAACCACTTTAAATACCAAGTAGGCAACTATCACTGAAATTAGGTTAAGTACAGACTGATACATACACAGAGAGATGGCTAAAATGATGCCCTGATTTCCATTCTGCCTGAAATTTCTTGTCTTCACAACAACAGTGTCAAAACACAGCAAAATTCATTTGCTTTTCTACTTAAGCGAGCGTCTCTTTAAATCCTTCT